TGCTTGCTTTCAGCACTAGAGGGCAATATTTTCTTGCTTTTCAGCAGACAGCACCTGCTCTCACCTCGACACACAGAGCAGACAGCCCTGCCTGCAGGCAGGCCCTTCCCAGACGGGTCTTAGAAATCCTCAGAGCAGGTAAAACACCTTAATTAAGACTCTTATGTTTAAAAATAAATAAAAATCAGGACTTCTGCTCTAAGAAACCTGCCACTAAATCACACTGAATGCTTACCAAATGTCTCAGCCTACACCTTGTAGTACAAGGGAATAGCATGCGAGGAGACCTAAAATGACACATTTTTTCCCTCGCTGTTCCGTCCTGCTGGGTTTCCCAGATACTGGTATTGCAAGCTGTCAAAATAATACACTTCATAAGCCAGATCTTTGCTGCCAGTACTGCCTGTATTACTAAAATATGAGAAGCCCATGACTCTTATACAAGCAAAAAAAAAAAAAAAAAAATATGGTCTTCATCCCAAGTTAGTTGATCCAAGTAACATTGGTAAAATTTCTTCCAGTTAAAATATCAGTAATCAGATTTAATGCGAACTAGTACATCTGTTGCATGCAGATGTTATAACAAGTGCAAGTATTCACACTTCTCTAGATGTCTAAATATTAGATAAGGAATTTAAACTTGTATATGGAAACCTGGCATTGGAGCAGATCTTCTTTCTAGTTTGTGCATTGTGTTTGAATTGCTCTCTTGAACTAATTGTACTGTTCAGTAAAAAAAAGTGTGAAGTAATTAAAGTTTATGAAAATAAATCAGCTATATTAGCCATTAGTGGGACATTTTCCAAGGCATAATTGGAAGTTAAGTGCCATTTGTGCCTTTGAAACTCTCCCCCTTAAAGTTCAACAGCTTTATATTCACAGAAATTCAGATATCTTTGGAGTATTTCTGTGCTATATTAATTTGAAAAACACGAAAATAGGCCATGTTTCATAATTAGCGTTACTAATGTAGTTTCACATTAGAAACCAGTGCTTGAGGTCCTGTGTTCGTATAGTCACTGGTCAGCATTCATTGATTCTTCAGGGCTAAAGCTGAAAGCTGGGTACATTTGATCTGGGAATCAAGGTTGCATTCATCCAGAGCTGGTCCTTCAGTAGATCTTCAATCTTGCGTTCAGCTGACTTCCCAGACATGGGGCCTTGCCCCAGAAAGAGCAGAACTCTGCAATAACTCTGTTGTGATACTGTAGCTGTCCACAGGAACTGTACTTTTTCTTTAATTCAGGCAGCCAAAGAAAAACGGAGGTTTAAAAATTGCTGCTTCCTTGCTAAATAATACTTCCTGCTTCCCCAAAAAAATGCATTTGATTGATGATTAAAGCATACTGATTTTGAAGATGACTGATTGGGAGATTAGGACTCAACTATTTAAAACCCATAGCACAATACTGGAAAGAAACAACCTCTTATTAATACCTTGTGTTCACGTTGCATCAGGAATTAAAGCTGTTTCTCTCGTGGTCCAGTTCCTATATGAAGACCTTCTCACAGGGCTTAGTGATTTAACAAGCATCTTGACCAAATTAGGTGCAACTAATCAGTGGGGGGAATATAGACATTGCAGAAGGCAGTTACCTGTTGCAAAGGTAGCTGTTAATTGCTAATGAGGGACAGCTGAAATAAGCTATTGCCTGGGTAAATAGGGAAAACTCCATGAAGAGTGACAGTTAGTGCCTTCCATCATCCATCAGGAGAAAGAGGCGAAAAGTGAGCAGTTTGGGTCTGGCAGGAGGCCAGCGGTGCCTGGGCTGCCAGCCTGACCAAAGGGGCAGGGCAAGCACCGCCTCGCAGGGCTGTTGTAAGCTCTTCTCCTTTCCTTACCACTCCTTGTAGCTAGGCTAAGCATCTCCAACCTAGTTCAGCTTACGGAAAGCAGAGATGGTGGTGGTAAGCAGACAGTTGTGTTCATCCACCCTACGGATGGAGCCAACAGACTTCACATCCGCAGCAGGTTAAGAGCGTGTTGCTGATTACAACACCGAGTAGAGGAGCAGGACACTTGTATCACTGCAACACTGTCATTTCTAGTCTCCTGTCTGCACCAGAGTGCAAGGCTGCGTGGAATGCTCTACAGGTAATTCATCTGGAGGCAGGCCAGAAGTTTCTTCTCATCTTATTCCAGCATAAATCAGAAGTTGGAATGCCTTTATTTTCTATATATAAAACTTCCCTTTAGGCTAAAAAAATTAATGTAAACTTTCCTCTCTTCCTTCCTTTCTAAGCTTGTATGACTCCTGCCATTTATTAGCAGCCCTGTGATCCATGATACCTACTTGCTACTCCTTACATATGGCTGCTCACTCAATACTGAAACAAGCAAACTGATTTGAGTGAAAAATTACTCCTGTTGACCATTAGCAAAAGTTCAGGGTTTCTATTAATTGCAGAGGAAAAAACAGTGGGTTTTTTTTTCCCCTCCTCAAAAAAGTTTAAGATATTTTTTTTTTTCTTTTACTGAGCTCATGAAACTTGGGTGCTTGTTTAAAGTAACTTTTTTCTTTCAAGCATAACGAGTTGCAATGTGTTTTGTATTTATGAATGTGGCTCTGCTCACAAGGGGTGTTGATATCAGCTGCTCGTAGGTTACCACAAGATTTTAGAAAACCCTTTTACTGAGGATAAGGACAGCTTCTCGGCTGGTAAAGGCTGTTGCAGGTCTTCTAACTTTGTTGTAACTCTCTCTCAGAATTTCTGAGTGGAGAGGCTGCTCAGCACTTTCACCTCTTGTTTGTTTTCGATGCATAATCAGCTGTAAGTTTAAAGGACCGGGTTTTTTTCAGTATTTTCAGCAATTTGATGAGTCTATAGTGTGCACATAATCCTGTGTGATTCCAGAAAGCTAAATGATGCCAGAGGTTGAAGTCGATAATCAATTAATATAAAGCGAAATGTTTGAAATACCTCGACTTGTGCACTCAGTGAAAGCTGGCATCATCTTATGCATGAAAATTACTTGGAAGCTAGCTATTCGACCCTTTTGATATCTATCTTTCTCTGGCTTGAAACTTTTCCAGATGATTTCAGAACTTGGAGCTTTGAAGAA